TTTGAAAATGTTCATGTTGTAATAAATCTTTTTTGGATGCAAAGAAAAAGCTACAAGCCATTGTGTGGCCTCCTCTGTTGGGAAATGTACATGCCGGGGAGGAATTGACTGGAAGGAGTCAGCACCCACTACTACCGTGTTTCCCCAAAAATAAGACACTGTCTTATTTTTTTTATGCCAGTTGGGTAATTTTCCTTTACTTCCTTTTCTGCCTGGTATCAAAAATCATATTGTTCATAAGCAAAGTTCAAAGTTTTATATGGCTCGTATGTTCCATTAGGTGTGTATATGATGGAGCATAAGCAGTGCCCATCGCAGAACCCTTTATGATTTAGAAGTTAATATTAAGGTATATTTAGACCCAACCACCAAAAGCTCATATATGTTTTAACATGTTAATATAATTCCAAAGTCATTTTCAGTTTTTTTTTAATTTGCAGCTTTCATTGCAATAATACCTGGTGATCTTGACATGAAGGTCTTTGTTCAGACACCTCCTGCTATAGGGTGGCACCCCTCTGTCCCTGTCTCACAGTTGAACGCCTGGGTTGTCAGCTTGTCAAACGGGCTGCTGATGGAGACTACAAGTGGCCATTTCAACACACATTACATATACATAGTTACATAGTTAGTCAGGTTCAAAAAAGACACAAGTCCATCGAGTTCAACCTATTGAGATACAGAGACAAAAAAAAAAGAGAAGAAAAGCCTAAAGAGAACGCTATGCCCACAGCTACCCACTGTTGATCCAGAGGAAGGCAAAAAAACCCTATAAAGCACGGTTCAATTTGCTCCAACAGGGGAAACAAATTCCTTCCTGACCCCATAAGGCAATCGGATATTCCCTGGATCAGCAATCTCTGGTGCTTAATATACCTATAAGAACTCAACAATTAACTGAGCTTGCTAGAACTAGCTCTTGGGGGAGTCTATTCCACATTTTCACAGCTCTAACTGTGAAGAATCCTTTCCGTATGCAAAGGTTAAACTTCTTTTCCTCCAGACGCAAAGAGTGCCCCATTGTCCTTAAAGTGACCTTAAAGTGAATAATTTGGCACCAAGCTGACTATATGGACCATTTCTGTATTTATACATGGTGATCATGTCCCCCCTTAATCGCCTCTTCTCCAGAGAGAACAAATTCAGGTCAGTTAATCTTTCCTCATAGCTGAGCTCCCCCATGCCTCTTATCAGTGTAGTCGCCCTTCGCTGCACTTTCTCTAGTTCCACAACATCCTTTTTGTGAACTGGTGCCCAAAACTGAACAGCATATTCCAGATGAGGTCTTACTACCCACCTTGAAAATGCTATGCAGCCATTACATTGCATGCCTGTAGAAAAGAAAAGGCTGCAAAGAGGCTATAAGAGATGTACAGATGTACAGGCAGTCCCCGACATACGGACGCCCGTCTTACGAACAACCCATACTTACGAATCGAGTTCCAGCCGCAGACC